CCAATACATGCATGATTATTATCTTGAGGAAGTGATATACCCAAATAAGGATACTTTTGTGAAAACATTTTCATATCCAAACAATGATAAACGACAAAGGTTCAACGTAGCGCATGCATCGACAATGAATGATGTTGAACGAGCTTTTTGTGTTCTCAAAATTCAAAAGTCTTTGGGGGGTATAAACCGTATAATTCAAAACCCTTCACTAACAGTGCAACCTAGAAAAATTAGAAAATAATGTACGTTTTCATTATATTACACAATATTGTTTTAAAAGAAGAAGGTGGTGATATGTTCTATTCACAAAAAGGAACTCCAACCTATTCATGAAGGTCTAGAAGTAAATCTAGATACTCTTTGGGAGTTGTATTGCAAAGAAACTCCCAACAACCTACGACGTGGAGCATATTGCAAATGTCTACATAGCTAATCTTGACTACTAGTTCCATATACATTTTATTAATAATTAGATGTAATTTTTTAATATATGATTATTATTTTGTTGTAATTTTTTTATTAATGAAACTCCATTTTAATTACAGTTTCATATATTTTAATTAGTTTTTATGTTGTTTTTATTAGATTCCATTTGTTTTAAATCTTTTATTTAACAAAAGTTGTAGGATGGGAGGGAGGTAAACGAGGACACCCCTCACCCTAAGTGGTTGATTGTATTGTAAATCGGTGGATTTTTCAGGTGATTCAAACAAAATATTTATCAAAATAGACAAATTAAATCAGGATGTAAGGAAATAAATGAAAGGAAAACCGTTACTAAATCGAATCGAAACCGAACCGATTGGAACCACATAAAGATATTTGTTCAGTTCTCGATTTCTTGAATTTCTGATTTTCAGAACTAAACGATCTCAACCCCACTTTAGAATGATAAATGATAGCATATATAGTGGATCCAGAAACTATCCGACCCATGTGACTATTTATTCATATGAAAGTCAAAAGTTAAGTTTTTAATTGGTCAAAAAGATTAAAGAAAAGAGTCAAAACTCAAATGAATACAAAATACAAATTTCTAAGATCGTGAGAGAACAAAGGAGGAAACAACATGATGCATTGCATGCAATATGATAACAAAGATACATTTCCATTTAATATTCCTTCACTATCCATTCTTTATAACGCACAGTTAATGTGTAACGTGTGAAAAAATAGATTTCCAAATAATACAAAAAATCAAACACTATATATACCCCCAACACAAAGCTCACACCAAAACCAACCTCCTTTCATTCATCTTCACACACAAAAACAATGGCTTCTCCTCTTTCAATTCTCTCTCTCTTCCTCTCTTTCCTTCTCTTCAATTCTTCATCATCTTTAACCACCAACCCTTCTTTACCTCTGAGAAAAACCGGCCACCAACTGATCAGAGACCTCAATTTGCACCCGAATCCTGAAGTCAACTTCTTTAACACACACACAACCTCTTTTGATGACAATTTTAAAGTATCTGAATCCAAGATTTTGGAGAAACGATTGAAGTTCCATGTTCATGGTGAACCTGGTGCAACTGTTAATGACCTGGCTCACCACGCAGGATATTATCATCTTCAACATACAGTAGATGCAAGGTATCATATGTTAACACATTATCTTAATCTTTCTGTTCAATGTAAGAAATTTTTCCATCTTATTCAATGCAAAAGATGCGGGTTTCTTTTTTCCTTCCTTATAAGTCGTCGTTTCTTATGAAAAGAATTCCAAGATATCATTTTTCTTCATGGGTTTTGATTTTTTAATTGGGGAATTTACCTACCCATGGAAAAAAATCTTTATGGTTAGGAAAATTTGGATTCTTTAGGTATTCGGTGCAGAGGTGACAGTCTTTTTATTCTATTGGTAGAGACTTTAAAGTATGGAATCTTTGAAGGACATGTGAGTAGGGTCAAAATGTCCAAAAGCACATTCTAATGATACCCAAACAAGGGCACTACTGTCTTATTCTCTACTTTTAGGACAGTCGATTATTGCCCATATGTTTTCGAAATCAAGGACCTTACATACAAAAAGAATTGAGGGATTTCCCGTTTTTGATTGGAGATCAAGATCCATTCATTTGGCCCATTTTTCTTCTACAAAAAAAGGGGTCCACAAAATGAAATCAAGAAATTGATGGGTTTTGCAGAGGGACTAAAATTGTTAAAGATAATATTTGCAGGATGTTCTACTTTTTCTTTGAATCAAGAAAAGCCAAAGCTGACCCTGTGGTCATATGGCTGACAGGAGGACCAGGGTGCAGCAGTGAACTGGCTCTGTTTTACGAAAATGGTCCTTTTAAAATTACCAACAACATGTCTCTTGTCTGGAATGATTATGGCTGGGATAAGGTAACTTTCCGTTTTACTGCTTTAAGGAATTGTACTGTACAACTAACTCATCTAGTTTGTTTGACTTTGACTCAGGTTTCAAACATGCTATATGTTGACCAACCTACTGGAACTGGTTTTAGTTATAGTTCCAGTGGTGAAGACACTCGCCATGACGAAACTGGTGTTAGCAATGACCTCTACAACTTTTTACAGGTCTGTTGTTTATTCATGGCAACACCGGAATCAGCAATTCCGTTGTTGAATCTAACTCTGTAATGACAATTGACATTTGACAGGCGTTCTTCATGGCCCATCCCGATTATGTCAATAATGACTTCTACATCACGGGAGAATCATATGCAGGACATTACATTCCGTCTTTCGCTTCAAGAATAAACCAAGGAAACAAGAACAAAGAAGGAATTCATATAAACTTGAAGGGATTCGCAATTGGAAATGGGCTAACTGATCCGGGAATCCAGTATCAAGCATATACGGATTACGCTTTAGCCAATAATTTAATTTCAGAATCAGATTATAACCAAATAAGCCAACGAATCCCAAATTGTGAACAAGCAACCAAACGATGTGGTAATTAATCCCCTTCGTTTCTTGAATTTTGTTCATTTAGGATATAATTGTAATTGTGTACGCATGTTATTGTGTTTATTTCAGGCACAACGGGAACAGATACATGCCAATCGGCCTTATATGTTTGTCAACAAATTTTTGAGGATATACTTTCGATAACAAACAATATAAATGTAAGAACTAAGAGAATCAAAATCTCACTAAACGTAGAAAATCGATTATTCTATTCTATAATGATTTATTTTTTCTATTTGCAGTATTATGATATAAGAAAGAAATGTGAGGGTAACTTGTGCTATGACTTCTCAAGAGTGGAAACTTTTCTAGGACAATCATCGGTTAAAACAGCATTAGGGATACCAAAAAATATAGATTATGTTTCATGTAGTGATGGAGTGTATGAGGCAATGATGAATGACTGGATGAGAAATCTTGAAGTAGGGATTCCAGAACTTCTAGAAGAGAATGTGAAATTGCTTGTATATGCTGGAGAATATGATCTTATTTGCAATTGGCTTGGTAAGTTGACTTCAAGACGTTGACTATTAATTATCAGATTTTATTGAATTGAGTCATTGACTAACATGATTGATTTGCAGGGAACTCGAGATGGGTTCATGCCATGTCATGGTCTGGACAGAAAGATTTTGTTGCAGCTTTGAATACTTCATTTTTAGTTGATGGAAAAGAAGCTGGGATTATAAAGAATCATGGACCTCTTACTTTTATTAAGGTTCATAATGCTGGACATATGGTTCCTATGGATCAACCTAGGGCTTCATTACAAATGTTGGAATCTTGGATGACAGAGAAACTTAACCCTTTAAGGAAGGGTAAGGTTGCACGACTGTAAAAACAAAAAAGGTTTAATTTTGTTACAAATATACATGTAACAGTTGAAAGTATTTGCTGTTTGTGTGCATATTTACTTAAAAGGAGGAAAAAGGTGGAAACTTTACTTGTAATTAGACAGCAATATTTATTGGGAATGTTATATGAAAGAAGTAAGAAGAAATTTGTTGACATAAATGATATGCTTTTGTTTGTTCATTGAATATTAGTTTGATGGTTATGGCTCTTATTTTTGGTAAGATTATGTAAATAAGTACAAGGTTAACTTTTGAAAGTCAAGTTTATTAAACAGAAAAACATTGGAGTTACAAAACGAAAAAAAATTGGTCAATTTTGAATCTTGAAAGTACATTGCTTGAATTCCAAATGGAGCAAACAGGTTTTCAACAACCATTCAATTGACAACTGTTTTGCTTCAAATGCAAAAGTTTGCAGGGTAAGCAATGAGATATGAAAACATAACTTCAAAGAAAAATCACGCTTTTTGAAAGCAATCTTCAAAGAGGAAAAAAAGAAAAAAGACATTGATTCAAGACAAAAGATTTTAGCTTTTCTAGATGAGCATATCCAAGATTTCCTGTATAGATCTACTCAATGCCACATTCGATATATGTCAATTTCTCTTGTCTGAAAAATGAATGATTGTTAACAAACAAAAATGTGGACCATTTATAACATTTTTCCTTTGTTGGATTACTTATTTCTAAACCTTAGTTCAGCAGCTTTTAATACATAGAATAAAAGAACAACGGGAGAAAATGACGAAATAAAAGTTCTGATCGTCTTTTTCATATGGGTAATTAGCAATTTTCTTCTTACGAATGATACTAACCGGAAAAAGGATGAAGCTTGATGAAATCAAAGAAATGTGGAGCAGAGCAACAAAATAGAACCCTAGCAGCGCTGTCAAGCACGAGCACCACAAATAACTTCGTCTCCGTCGCTAACGACGTGAATTAAGAACACGAAATTGCCATTAAGAAGGTTTAGAAGTAGAGCCACATTGAGGTGAGGATCAGCACTTGAGTGAAATTGCAGTGAACTCATTATAGATGGCGCCGCGGTGTTGGTTTCCGGGAGGGTTCTTTCAAAGAAGGAGCACACTGTGTAATACAAGGCGGTGTGATCAATGGCGACGGCTGTTTATATGGTGGTAGTCCGTTTGTCCTCTTCCATGGCGATTGCTGATGGCCGGCGATCAACAAACTATGGTGAGCACTTGGGTAAAATTGATGATTTTATTGGCAACAAAACCAACTAACGGCTTTGGTAAATAAGTATGAAATATAAACATCAAGCGGGGATAGCTCAGTTGGGAGAGCGTCAGACTGAAGATCTGAAGGTCAGTTGTTCGATCCACCTTCACCGCATTTTATTTTTCTTGTTTTCGTTTTTGTTACTTGACACAGTTTAGAGTCTGGCTTAGACCATAAGGTATATTTAACATACTTCTTATTTTTTCCCTGCAGCTCTACTGTCATTTTTTTTCCCATTCTCTTTACAACATAATACATAAATAAATAGAAATATGTCATGGATTCATCTTAGATGCTTTAAACCTTTAACCTATAACTTCTTTTCAAAATTTTCACATATGGATCCACTTTAGATTAAAACATGGATCCATTTGAATTGAAGCAATGGCTTGAACGAGGAGAGATACATTGGTTTTCTCAAGTGACAACCCTCGCCGTGTTGGGATTTTTGAGGTTGGGGTGGTGTACTATACCCCTACGGTGCTAGGTCGCATCTTAGTTTAACAAAAATTTAAAATTAAATTGACGGTTCATTTTAGGAGTTTTTAGGAAAAGAGGTAATGATTTAGGAGAGTAATAAAATTTCTATTTTGTTCAAAAAGTATCATTATTTTTTGCACATTATACCATTAAATTTGTTAAAGTGTTCAAAAAACACCATGACTACATGTAGTAGCAGGTTTGATGTTGATGATGCACATTTTTGCTGAATTAGACATCACTTTCTTCTTCTTCTAAACCATTGTTTCGAATCCTTATTACAATCGAGCCACTGATGAGTTGATACATCGAAAGGAGAGTTCACTGGCGAAGAGGGGTCCATACAACAACAGTCAGATTTTCGCGACAATATATTACTGCATCATGTCTACCTACTTCAACGGTCTAGGTACGACCTAAATCGGGCACCTTGAACATGATTTGGTTTTGCTTAGTTTGTCTCGCATATCATCTTTGTACACAGTCGGTGCGACTCTTCCATTTTTATCTGTAATTAGGGACCATATACAGAGTATCTTTTATTGTATATCGATGACAATATTTTGACTGCTTCATCTTCTGAATTTTTACAATAGATTATAGTCACATCGGGCAACAAGTTCTCCATCTTCGGGACATGAACCATTTTCTTAAAATTATTGTTATAGGAAATCACTACGACATGTTTTTATCTCAATAGAAATATGTGTAAGATTATGATTTTCCCATAATTGGATTTCCATTAAAAGAAGTAATATATACAAAGTATATTGGGCTCCATGACACAAATGGACTAACTATTGATTACATACAAATGGGTTAGACTAAATATAACACAAATACAATAAATACATATACCCTAATACGTCCCCACAGTTTGAGCAAGAGCTCAAGAGCAGATGCTTAAACTGGATCTGAAATACATAAAAGAGATGTTGGAAGCCCTATGGTGAAGATGTTTGCATGAATAGACAGATTTGTTGCACAACATAGGATAAATCTGGACGGGTAAATGTAAGATATTGAAGTCCGCCTGCCAGGCTGCAATACATAGTAGTATCTGAAATTAGAGAGCCGGAGTTATACTGTTTGGACTAAGTGACAGCTGGAGTGCGACAGGGTTTGCAGTTGGACATGTTCACCTCTCAAGTAGTTCTAACGCATATTTGCGTTGAGAAAAAATACCCTTGTTATCCCGAGTAGCTGCAATACCCAAAAAATATGATAAATCCCCCAGATCCTTCATGGAAATCTCAGAGGCCAAAAGGGAAATAATGCGATGCATAATAAGAGACATAGATGAGACGGTGAGAAGAA